CACTGTGCGCTTGGGACAGCCCAGGCGGGGTGTGCCGGCCTGGCCAGCGGACGCCAAACTCACAACCTTCACCACCCTGCTGCGGAAAGCGGCGAAGAGTGTCGCGGCTTCCGTGCAGGGACCAGCTCCTCTCCCGCAGGGGCGAGTGAACAGGGCACAGGGCGCAGTCCCGGGGGAAGGCACTGGCAGGGGAAGGGGGCATTCACCGAGCTCGTCAGGCTAACTGACCTCTCGGGAGGTGCACCTGCCGACACCGGGCTGCCCGCAGCTGGTCTGCCAGATGCCAGGCAGGTACGCAAGCGCTGTTCCCTCCGGGATGGGCACACCTCATCTGGTTGGATGGCTGCGTGACTTAGGTGACTGCGACTTCATTGTCTGCCGGCCCCATTCACCTCCTGGAGGGGACAGGGCATGGGACACTGAGGGAGGGAGAGGCTTTGCCAGGTATGCGTGGCAAGGACCCAACGGAAGGATGCTCCCGCCCACAGCAGGTGCCCGGTCGGCACTGGCCTTGGCGATGGTCCAATAGAAACTTCGAGTTTTTCTAAAAACTCTGGGCCCGTGGACACTGGAGCCTCTGTGCCAGGAGAAGGGGCAGTGAGCCAGGAGCTGCTCACAGGCACAGGAAGGGCCCATGTCCCTGGCCCCCTGAATAAGAGGATGGCGAGAGCTTCCCCGTGCACCTCCTTGCGGGGCAGGAAATGCCACACCCCTGAGTTTCTGCAAAGGGATACACATTCTGTTCCCAGCTCCCATCCTGGGAAGGGCAAGAGTGGGGTCTCTGTTGGTCAAGATCCCCCGTTCCCCTGGGTTGGGTGCTGCCCAGTAGGGATGTATGGGCTGGGAACAGAGAAGTTGCATTTGACACTGGGGGGTGGCTACACGGTCACAGGGGAGGAGAGGCCACTGCTGCCCCACGCAGAGGGAAAAAGGGAGGGGCCGGGCCATCCGTGAGAGCCAACCCTAGAGTCAGGATCACACCCACAGCCCTTGGGACCTGAGTGCCCCCCTTCACTACCTGTCCTCCCACCCCCCCCCATGCTGAAAGGACCATCATCCCACCCATGCTGTCCTAAGACACACACAGGAGGCCGCTGGTCCTCCCTTACCCGGGAGGCTCTTGCCTGCCCTGCTGCCCCTGGGGCCTGGACATCAGTTCCGGACGCTCCATCCAACGCTGCCTCCACTGACAGTTTCTATTCCGGAGGCATCCCTCACCTGCTCTCTGGGCCTGCGTCCTTCCTGGGAGCCAGGCAGAGGCCAGCCCCCAGTTTGTTCCGGGTCTACGGACCCCAGACTGCAGGGCAGACAGCACACAGGGTCGCTGGGACAGGACCTTCTTCCTACAGAGCACAGCGCAGGGGCTCAGCCCCACACCACGTGTCCACCAGGGCTACTGATCCCTGCCCGAGGACGAGGGCTGACACAGCCCGGCGTGCAGGACTCTCAGCCCGCCTGCTGGGGGCTTGCGTCTGCCTGAAGCAGGTGACGGGATCTAACTAGATCCAGACGGTAGTTACACGGCATAAACGCGCCAAATGGCACTGAATCAGGCACCGAATCAGTTTTAAAATGGTCAACTTAGATTGGGTGGATTTCATCCCAATTTTTATAACCATATCCCAAATATTGCATAGAGAATACTTTAATAGTGTATCTGAAATTCCAAAAACTGTTGTTAAAGATTTGCTTATTTAATTTCAGAGGGAGCATGTGCAGAGAGGGGCAGAGGAAGAGAACCTCCAGCAGACACCTGCAGAGCACGATTTCATGACCTGAGCTGAGAGGGAGAGTGTGACGCTGGGCCCACTGAGTCACTCAGGAGCCCCTCAAAAAAAAGTGTTTTTGGGGGGAGCCTGGGTGGCTCAGTCATTAAGTGTCTGCCTTCGGCTCAGGTCATGGCCCCAGGGTCCTGGGAGTGAGACCTGTGCTGGGCTCCCTGCTCGGCGGAGGGCCTGCTTCTCCCCCTCCCTCTCCAGCTCCCCTGTGCTTGTGTCCCCTCTTGTTATCCCTCTGTTATAAATGAACAAAACCTTAAAAAATATAACGTGTTTTTTAAAAAGCTCCAGCTCGAGCTAGGGCGTGACAACATCCCCAGCAGCAAAGGTAGGGCCATGGGCTGGGTGGCCAGGCGGAGGCGCCAGAGAGCGCGGCCTGAGCCGGCCCACCACGGGGCGCTCCCCGGAGCCGGTGGGGTGGTGTGTGAGCGGCTCCTCCAGACCACCCAGGACGGCAGTACGGGCGCTGGAGGGGATGAGCAGCAGGTGTTGGAGAGCCAGGCACCAAGGCTGGGAACCGCGGGTCCCGCCAGCGCGGCTGGACCCTGGGTCAGCGCCTCCCCATCTTCCGTGCACTTTAGCTTTGCGTTGCTTCTGTAATTGAAGTGATAAATGAACCCAGAACCATATTTTTTTTCCAAAGATTTTACTTATTTATTTGACAGACGGAGATCACAGAGAAGCAGGCAGAGAGAGGAGGAAGCAGGCTCCCCGCTGAGTGGAGAGCCCGATGCGGGGCTCGATCCCAGGACCCCAGGATCACGACCCGAGCCGAAGGCAGAGGCCTTAACCCACTGAGCCATCCCGGCGCCCCGAGAACCACGCTTTGATTAGCGAACCAGCAACTGGTTTGTGGAAAAGCCTTGTTGTGCTGTTGAGGGCACAGCCTGAAGCAGCCCGGCCCTGGCCTCTTGGTCCCCAGGGGTGCTCACGGACTCATGGTCAGCACAGTACAAGCCCCAACAGGGAGAGGCCTCCGCACCGGAGAACCCCCAGCAACTCAGACCAGCTCCCGGAAGGCCAGCCCGAGAGATCTGCTGCAGGAAACCAGCACCGTCCTGGGCACTGGGCGCCGACACGGTCCCAGCAGAGACGGGCAGCACTCAGACCACCGACACGCGCCGCATGTGGGGTGGGCAGCTGCCCCCGCAGGGACGGCCACAAGCTGCCACGGAAGGTAAGGAGGCCCTGGAAGAGCAGGGGGCACGGCCCGGGGGCTGCCGGGACCAGTGAGAGGGGCCTCCATACAGATGCAGTGCCACCTGACCTCCTCAGGACGTGTGACCGCCAGGCCCCACTCCAGCACTGTCACTCAGATCCCGGAGGGTTCCGGAGTCCCTGACCATTCCAGCTCGAACATTCCCGGACCAAGAGCCCCGACATCTGTCAGGTGCTCAGGTTCCCAGCCCAGAAACCTGAGAGGCTGTCCTGGCCACCCCAGTGCTACTGCCCCTGCCCCGCGTCCACTCAGCCAACCTCCCCAGGGGCAACCACCCAGGGCCAGAGGTGGAGAAAGGCCAGCCCGGGGGCCTAGATGGCTCAGTGGGTTGAGCACCCAACTCTGTTTCAGCTCCAGTCATGATCTCAGGGTCTTGGGATCCAGCACCACCCCTCCCCCCAACCCAGTCAGGCTCTAAGCTCAGCGGGGAGTTTGCTGGTCTCTCTTTCTCCCTCTGCCCTTCCCCCCCCCAACGCTTGCTCACTCACTTGACAAATAAAATCTTTTGAAAAGCTAAAGTAAAATAAAAAAGAAACAGCAGCCTAATACCAAATGTGCCCAAGTGCAGCTGCCCAGCCCCGGCACTCAGGGGGCACAGCGGCCTTTGTCCAGGCGGTGAGAGTCCCCAAACCTGCCAAATTGAGGAGGTCTACACAGGACACACGATGCTGAATTGGGGGTGGGGGTGTGACAGACCAGAAAACGTGCTTAAGCCTTTTATAATTTAACTTTAAAAGTCAATGGCGTTTCTTTTAATCGGTGAGCCCCCAGCCCACCCACACGGCCCCCTGGTGTCCGCACACAGAAGCTCAGGCAGGACATCTGGTAGCCAGGAGCCTCGGGACAGTCCCTCACAACACGCATGAGCCCCTCCTCTCTGCCAGGCAAGTCCTGGGCCCTGGGGCTGAGGCAAGGAGCAGGTCAATAATGAGCCTCCCTCAGTCCTGGCAAAGGCTGGCAGGGACAGTCCATGGACTACTGCAGGACAGCAGGGCCATGACGATGCAGAGAGTGCCACATGGGACACACAAAGTGGAGCCTCCCCAAAGCCCCACTCAGCCCGAGGTCTGAAGAGCAGAGGCAATGCAAGAGACAGCTGTGAAAACAGCAGAGCAAAGGCCCTGGGGCAGGAACCGGGCTAGGAGAAGCCCTGCAGTACAGCTGGGGGCAGGGGTGCTAGCATCCGTAACTCACACAACCCTATACAGAGGGAAAGCACTCCTTCACCACCCCGGCAAAGCCCACACCAGGCACACCAGGTCCTCAGCCACCGGAGCAGTTCCCTAGAGGCCAACCGGGCCAAACAATGGCCCACTGTGACTCCAGGGCATTCCTGTGGGGAGGGGCTGTGCCGGGAATTCAAATGGGAGGCTGCAGGCAACCAGGGTATCCCACCCCCACCTGTGCCTCTGTCAGGCCCCCTAGCCCACGCGAGCTGCTGTCACACACGGGATTCCTCCATCCCCAGACAAGTAGGTTTTCCAGAGGAACCTGCATTCAAACAGGGTCACCTGACAAAAATGGGGCCTCAAAGGAACACACCGGACCGAAATAAGCGCCTGGCCCGTGGCTGCCGGCACCCACTCTGCTGAGGGACAGGATGGAACAGTAAGCGGCCTTCAGCTGTAACTCCCTCTGATGGGGGACACACACCCTGGGACCCAGGGATCAGGGGACAAAGGGGTCCTCCTCAGGACCTGGCCAGGAACGGGCATGAGCGCTCCCTGTGTGCCCCAAGACTAAGCAGGACAGAGATCCCTCACTGTCGCTCCTGGGTCACAAAGTCCAACTCTAGTGGAAAGACAGAGGACTTGACCCAGACCCTTCCATGATACAAGGGGCCCCGGGGAGTCTGGGGTGCCCAGGGAAGCTGGCAGGGCTGCCAGAAGCCACTTCCGTAGGCCCGTCCCTCCCAGCACCCAGCCTGCACCCCCCAGGCTTCGGTGAAGGGGGAGGCCCCTGGACAGCACCTTCCAGTGGCGGCGGCGGGGGGGGGGGGGGCCTGCCGGTGCACACAGCGGGCCGGCACTGTGGACGTCGGCCCGTGGACACGGCTGCCACAGGAGCCGGGAGACAGGTTCAGCGGCTCCCCAGACCCCTCACTGCCCACAGTCCACCCTGTTGGCTCTCCCACGAAACCACTGATGGGGCGGGGGGCAGGGAGACCACAGGGTCAGCTGAGTGTGAAGTGCTGCGCGCAGAGGTCATCCTGCCGGCCCAGCAGACCCCGAGCGGGGATGAACTCCAGTGGTACGGACCCCTGGCCCTTCTTCTTCAGGTCCCGCTCAAACACCTGCAAGGCACAGGCAGATGACACGCCCGTACCGCGAGGTCCCTGCACTCCAGCCACCCAGGTCCCAGCGTCCCCCAGCCCTCACCTCGAATGCTGTGAGCTCCAGCAGTGGGGCGATGCTGACCTCGGGCACAGACAGCGCCTGGTTGATGACGCTGGCAGCCTGGGACACCTCAGGGTGGTAATGCCGCTGGAGGGCCTATGAAGCACGTGATGTCACCTCCCCCCCGCTCCGGACACCGGCCCAGGCTCAGGTCGGCGGGGGCGAGGCAAGGAGAGTGACACGCCCACCATGCTCACCTGCAGCTCCCACAGCGAACTCTCCAGAGCTCGGCTCTTGGCGGGGTCCTCCTCTTCGGGGTCATAGGGGTCGGCATCCAGCTCTAGGAATGAGACCAGGCCCTACTCCACAACTGGCCCCGTGTACTGGCTGCTGGGGGCAGGCCCCCCGGTCTCCCCAGCCCCCGCTGCACTCACCCGGGCCCAGGGGGCGGTGCACGAGGACACGGCAGGCGGGGTGGCGGCGCAGCAGGTTGCAGATGAAGGGCAGGACCATGAGCAGGGCCTCGGGGGGCGCTGTTAGGGCCAGGCGGGACAAGCGCTTGGCGAATGCAGCCACCAGGTAGGCGGGCAGATGGCTGGGCGGGACAGTGGGTGTGAGTGAGACCCCCTGGCCCAGCACCTCGATCCCTGCTCTGGGTCTCAGCCCCGCCCCAGCACTCACGAGGACGACAGGAAGAGATCGGCCAAGTGGAAAAACCGGGCCCGGTACTTCACGTGAAAGACAGACGGGTCCAGAAGACCATAGAGTTTCCGGTAGAAATCGGGGTACTCGCTGGGGGGCGTGTAAGTGAACAGCAGGCACGCAGTGGAAACAGGCAATGAAGAGACAAAGAGCGGCTTCCAGGGACTCTGTCCCCTCTCCCATGCTTCTCCAGCCTGACCCCCACCACCGCCCCCGGGCCAGCCCAGCCCAGATGAGCACTCACAGGTTGTGCTGATGAATCAGGATAAAAAGTCCGTTCAAGGCCAAGAGACTAATGGCTCCCCCTGTGGACAAACGTGCAGCTGTGAAGCCCCAGCCCACCGCACCCCTCCAGCTGGGGCAGGAGTCCATCAAAGCTGGAGGCCACCAGCCCACAGACCCAGCTTCCCCAGTCCAGCCCGGGAGGGAGGGCAGGATCCTGAGCTGCCGGAGCCCAGACCGCAGGCACTCACCCACGTCGTAGGCGCGGGTAAGGAAGTCGATCATGAGGCTGGGCTGGGCCAGGTGCGGCAGGATGGAGTCGTGCATGATTACCAGCACCTTCTTGTAGAGACTGAGGGGTAGCTGGCGGGAAAGCAAAAGGTGTGGGTCCACCTGCCCTACTCCAAGAACCCTGTGAGCCAAGGGGCCCATCCCGCCCCTACCTTATGCTTGAGAAAGCCGAGCCACATCCCTTGGAAAGCCTTCCTGTGCTCCTACAGTGGGGGGTGGGGTGTCAGACCTGCACACAAGGACACAAGGCGCCTACCCCAGTCCCCTGCCCTCAGAAGAGACACTGCCCATACTGCTTCCCCCCTTGCCCTGTGGTAGGAAAAACTCACAACCCCAAATCCAAGAATTCCCGATGACACAAGAAATGCCCCGCCTGGATCCTCCCCCCACGAAAGCAAGTAAGCGTCCCATCTGTGACTGCCCACAGCAACAAGGGCCCACTGAGAGTCCTGGAACAAGGTACCAGTGCACCGCCCCCATCCTGGCCCCGGTCCCTGTGAGGGAACCCCACGACTGCCTAGGCCAGGGGAAGGGCAGCTAGTCCTCTTCCTGTCCCACACACACTGCCTCTGCCTGGAAAGAGCCTTTGTCCCAGGGAGGCCCCCAACCCCTCTGGAGCATCTCACCTTCAGATGAACGACCTTCCACGTGCGCGGCAGCTCTGTGAGGAAAGCAGCGGTCAGCGGACGGGCAGGAGAGGGGCAGCCCACCTCATGTGCCTGCCCGCCCGCCGGCCGCCCAGGATGCCCACTGAGGATGCTCACCCCCGTGCTTCACGTAGAAGCTGGAGATCCCACGCTCCTGACAGGGTAGACTCACGGACGACAACAGCGTGAAGGCATTGTTCCAGAACGTGAGCGGCACCTGCAGAAGGCCTGGCCTGAGCACGGGCATGGCCACAGCCCACCCACTCCCCTAGCCACAAGACCCAGCCGGCTCACCTCCGGGTGCCTGTCAGTGACGCGGCCCACAGTGTCCGTGGCCGCCTGCATCGTGTGGTAGCGGATGTCGTCGTGCTCCAGGTACTCCCGGAACCGGGCCAGGAGCAGCGAGCAGTCGTCCTCCGGAGACAGCAGACCTTCCACCACCGCCTAGATGCCGGACGGGGAAGGGGGCCTCAGTGTGTCAGCCCACGGCCAAGCGACCACCCGAGGAGACCACCGAGCCAGCAGGCTCACCCCCTGCTGCATGGGAGAGTCTGGCAAGCGCACCACACTCACTAGCCCCCTGCACCAGGCCCCATCCCAGCTCTGGCCAGAGGTTTCTGTGTCCTCCCGCCCCAGCGCTCCCCACCTTGAGGAGCTGGCGAGGAAACAGGTAGTAGCCGTCCCACTTCGGTTTCTCCAGGGGGTGAGCTCCTTCCAGCTGCACAAACTTCATGAGTGTGCTGAGAGCCAGCTCCTGCGGACAGCGGGGAGCAGAGTAGCCAAAGGTCCCGACCACAGGTGACGCCCGCTGTCGGCAAAGCCACAGAACCCCCCAGCACGCCGACCCAAGTACGCCTGACACGGCATTCCCACAAGCACCGGGACACAAACACCAGCCATCAGAACTCCAGCCACACGGAACGTGAACACGGCCTCAGCTGGGCCCAGGATCGGAGGCGTAGGCAGCCTCAGCCCTGCGTCCGTGCCTGTGGACAGCCTGGTGCAGGCACCGTGGGGGAGACCAGCAGGACTCACCTTGACCTCGAAGGAGGGGTGAACCAGGAGCTCCTGGAGGCGGTTGAGGCAGCTGCGGTAGCGGTGCCGCATCCACACCTTGTACTTGCGTGTAGCTCCCTGAGAGCCTGCAGGGAGCCCCAGGTCAGCCCACCCCCCCCCCCAAACCCTCCACCACTCCCGCCCCGCCAGGGACACTGACCTGGGGTGGGAAGAAAGAACCTCCTCCCTCCAGGGCATGATCTGTCACCCCTCACTGGACCCCAATACAGAAACGACCCAGGATGGGAACGTGTGGCACAGCTTCACCAGATGCTGGCCATAAAGGCAGACGCTGTGGTCACCAAGCCGCAGGGCTCTCTCCGGCTGCCGCCCCCAGCACCATCCTCCTCCCACCCTGGGCCCGCGGAGCAGCTTCGGGGCCGAGTCTCCTCCCGCTTTCCCAGAGCGTCGACCCCGCAGGCGGACCCCAGCCCAGGGCCCTCGGGGACGCTCACCCGCCATGACCGAGTCCTCGGAGGGCAGCTGGCCCACAAACAGCTCTCCCCGCTGCAGCAGGGCCCCGAAAAGACGGCTGCACGCGCGCACCGCCTCCTGGGTCTCCTCGTGGTCCTCGGACTGCAGGGACAGGCCGGTCGCGGGGGCCCCCACTTCGGCCCCACGCCCGGCCCCGCCCTCACCCGCCCACCCGAACCTCGCGCCCGCGCGCCCCCCGACGCCCCCTCCCCGGCCTCCGACCCCGGGACCCCGGCCGCCGCGACCCGCGCGTCCCCACCTGCAGCACCGCCAGGATGTCGAACACCGCGTTGGCCTCGCCGCGGCTCGCCAGCACCGCCTCCAGCAGACGGCCCATCGCCCGGCGCACGCCCTCTGGGCCGGAGTCCTGCTCCATGCCGCCGCCGCCGCCGCCGCACGCGACAAAAACCCGAACTCGCGCGCCCGCACCCAGCACCCCCGCTGATGTCACCTCCCCACGCAGGGGGCCTCCTGCACGCGGCCGCCGTCGCCCCGCCCCGCTGTGACGTCACTTCCCCGCGCCCGGGAAGTCCCGCGAGCGGCCGCCGCCGCCCGGTCCGCGACGTCACCGCTCCGCGCCGCTGCCATCATCGCGGCGCGTCTGGCCGGGAGGCGTGCGGCTGGCTGGCATGGCGCTCTTCCACGTCGCGCGGTACTCCGGCCCCGAGGCGGCCGGGGCGGACAGCGAGGCGGACGGCCGGGCGCGCGCGCTGCTGGAGCGGCTGCAGTGCCGGGCCCGAGAGCGGCAGCAGCAAAAGCAGCCGCAACAGCAGGCGGCCGCACGAACGTCAGAGGCGGCGGGGCGGCGGCGGCGGCGACCGCGCCGACCGCGGAGGCGCGAAGGCAGCGGGGCGCCGGGGAGCCCGCACGCGCCGCCGGGGAAGCGGCGGAAGGTGGACGGCGAGGACGCGCGCGCAGGTGGGGCCGGGCCGGGCGGGAACGAGGGCGCGGCCGTGCGACCGGGGTCCGCGGGGTGCTGACGCGCCGCCCCCGGGCCCGCTTCTGCCGTGCAGGGAGCAGCGAGGAGGCGCCGGGCGAGAGCGGCGCGGACGCCGAGGGCGCGGGGCCGCCGGAGCACCCAGGCGGACGGCCCCTGGGAGAGGCGTCGGGGCCTCCAGCCCACGCCCTGCTGCTCGGGGGCTTTGGGAGAAGCAGGGCGCCCAAGGTGAGCGGCCCGGGGTGGGAAGGGAAGCTTTCGACGACTTTGCTTCAGCCCGGAAGTGGGTGGGGTGGCTATCGCCAGTCCCGCCCGTGCTCGGGGTAGCCCGGAGGCCGGCGCCTGCCACCGGGGAAGGTCCTTAAGTAGATGAAGAGTCTCCCCCCGAGTTGCGTGGCCTGTAATTTTCCTTTTGGTTGTTCAAGCCCTGTGCAAGCTCAGTACTTCTGCGTTTAGTTGTAAGCTCGATTTTGTGAGTATAGTTAAGCGGGTTTGCAGTTGTCACAGTTGGGTCTTAAAGTAATCTAAGTTACCTGGTGTGTACGTATAAGGAGCTCCTATCCCATGTTTGCCTGCTTGGTAAAGAAAATGAGTTTCTGGTGTCTTTGAAGTTAGTCTTTTTATTGGGGTGGAGATTTTCAGTAAGTAAGGACCGTACAGAAGGCTTCTGGGATGACCGTGACTGCAGGGAAGGAAGCGGTGGGCTTGCCAGGGTGCGTGGGGGCACCTTCATGTCTGTGCCCGTGTGGAGGTCTGCCTTGAGTTGGGATAAACTGGGGTAAGATGGACAGCGGAGGTGAGTTATCACTCAGAAGGCAGGTGGCACCAAGGCCCTGAGGCAGCTGTGAGCCTCAGTGTGTAGGAACAGAGGTGTGTATGGCTAGGGCTCACAGTGATTGGAAATGAGGCTGGGGGCAAGTGAGTCTCATGTCATGGAGAGCTTTGCAGGCGCCGCACCTCAGGGGTGGACGTTATCCCGAGTGTGAGAGGAAGCCCCCACCCCCAGGGGGGTTTGCTCAGGAGAGTAGCACTTTCTTGTGCGTTTCTAAATTCCTTTAAAGATTGTGTGGAAGCTGGGGAAGAGGAGGCGTAGGGAAACTAGTTCGAGTGGTTGCCTGCCTTGCTGTGGCCTCGTCAGCTTGAGCCACCCAGAGCCTGGTTTCTGCAGGTCTTACTCCCCTAGCCCCACGGAGCCTGGAGTATTCAACTGGCCCCTTTCTCTTTACGGTAGGTCCAGCCTTTCCTGCCTTCATGGCTGGCTGAGCCCAGCTGTGTTGGAAGGAGTGTCACTGAAGACTCGGTGCCTATCGAGCACATCCCCGCAGTGCACCCCGACATGCAGAAGAAACTGCGGGCACACGGCATCTCGTCCTACTTCCCAGGTGCTGGGGGCCGGGACGGGCACGCCTTCAAGAGTGTCTGCACCAAGAGCCGCACAAGGCCACAGTGCAGCAGCTGTGAACGTGGGCTTCTAGGCATGTCCGGCTTCTTGGCATGTCCGGCTTCGCGTGCCAGCTGGGTTTTTGGCATCTTTGGCCGCCGGGCCTGATGCTCCAAGAGGCTCTGGAGCTGTCTTGGAGTGCGAATGGCCTAGAGATCGTTGAGGAGGAGCAAGGCTGCTCGTGGCTTCGGTGCCTGTGTTGATTCTGGGTGTTCGTGCACATTGTGACCCGCGTCTCCTCCTTTGTCCAGTCCAGGCAGCAGTGGTCCCTGCCCTCCTGGAGAGCACAGCCAACGGGTTTCTGGTGGCCAGAGGTGGCTACCGGCCCAGAGACCTTTGTGTTTCTGCCCCGACAGGCAGCGGGAAGACTTTGGCCTTTGTCATCCCTGTGGTACAGGTCAGTGTAAGGACCCCAGCCTCCGAGGGGGCTCTGCAGGCAGGGAGCTGGCTCTGCTCACAGGGTGGCTCTCGTCCCCCCCCAGGCCCTGCTCGGTCGAGCTGTCTGCCAGGTCCGTGCCTTGGTTGTGCTGCCCACTAAGGAGCTGGCCCAGCAGGTTCGTGCACCCTGCGCCTCCGGGTCAGACCTAGGATCTGTGTCACTGTGCTGCTTCGTACCAGCGTGGTGACGGCTGCTTCTTCTCCAGGTGAGCAAAGTGTTCAACATCTACACAGACGCCACACCTCTGCGTGTCGCCCTGATCACCGGGCATAAGTCACTGGTCAAGGAGCAGGAGAGTCTCGTCCAGAAGACGTAGGTCCTGGGGGGCTAGGGGCTCCTCAGGGAGCGGCTGTCTGAACCCTGTCAGCAGGCTCCCTGTGGTGTTGCGGGGGTCGGTGTGGGGCCCTTGGCTGAGCCACTCTGCTCCTCAGAGCAGACGGCTTCCGCTGCTTGGCTGATGTGGTGGTGGCCACCCCAGGCCGCCTGGTGGACCACATCGACCAGACTCCAGGATTCAGCCTCCAGCACCTCCGATTCCTGGTATGCTGCACCCCAGAGGAAGGCCGGGGTTTGGAGCTGGTGCTGGCCTCAGCCACCCAACACCAGGCCTCCTGCTTCCCCAGGTCATCGACGAGGCCGACCGCATGATAGACAGCATGCACCAGTCCTGGCTGCCCCGGGTGGTGGAGGCAGCCTTCCCGAGCGATGGTGCCAAGGATCCCTTTGTCCTGCTCCAGAGGCGGCAGCCCCAGGCCCCCACCGCCGCCAGGTACCTGAAGCTGAGCCCTGCCCTGTTCTTGGTGCGTCCGCGCGAGCACAGCCCCATCAGGCTTTCCCTCTGAGACCCGCTTGGCCTCAGGCTGGTCCGGTTTGTTCTGGGGCGGTCAGTGTCTGGGGGGGTGGCCAGGGCTCTGTCGGTTAGCTGGCCGGGCTGAGACTGCTGTCCCACCACCCGCTCCCCTTTCAGTATCTCTTGTCCTCAGATGCCCCTGCAGAAGCTGCTCTTCTCGGCCACCCTGACGCAGAATCCAGAGAAGCTGCAGCAGCTGGGCCTCCACCAGCCCTGGCTCTTCTCCACGGGGCTGACGCGCAGAGACCCGGGAGACAGTGACACAGACAGGGACTCAGGCGGGAAGTACGCCTTCCCAGCCGGACTCTCGGTGAGGGGGGCGTGCAGGGGCGGGAAGGGGGAGCCGCTCAGGCGCTTGGGGCCTGGCCAACCCTGTGCCATCCCCACAGCACCACTACGTGCCCTGCAGCCTCCGCACTAAGCCACTGGCCATCCTGCACCTGATCCTGGAGAAGAATTTCTCAAGGGTCCTCTGCTTCACCAACTCCCGTGAAAACTCCCACAGGTGCGGCCCCAGGGGGTGCAGGGGGAGCCCAGGGGAGCCGGGCTCCAGGCCCGGTCCACTCAGTTCCTTCTGGTTCTTCCCACCAGGCTCTTCCTGCTAGTCCAGGCGTTCGGAGGCATGACGGCGGCTGAGTTCTCCTCCCGCCGCGGGCCCGGCCAGAGGAAGGCAGTCTTGAAGCAGTTTGAGCAGGGCAAGATTCAGCTGTGAGTGCCCCAGAGAGGGGAAGGGGACGGCTCCAGCCGGGTAGCAGCCTGGGATCCCTGCAGGGGGCTTTGCTGCGGGAGACTCAGCTCCTCAGCGCGGAGGCCTCCCCGGCAGGCCCGGGCGGGGTCATGGGCACAGGGCGTCGGGGGCTCCCGGCCTCAAGCAGGGCCCGCCCACAGCCCCTGGTGTCCCCCAGCCTCATCAGCACAGACGCCACCGCTCGAGGCATCGACGTGCAGGGCGTGCAGCTGGTCGTCAACTACGACGCCCCCCAGTACCTGCGCACCTACGTGCACCGGTGAGGGTCCCGTGCCTTTGGAGGGAGAATCCGTGGAGGGAAGCCCCGTCCCATCGGACCCCCGTGCGCCATCGTCCTGGAGGTAGTTGTGCTTGGTTTCAGGGTCGGAAGAACCGCCCGCGCTGGGAGAACCGGACAGGCATTCACTCTGCTCCTCAAAGTGCAGGTCCGTCTGCTGCAGTCTAACCGGGGGCGGGGGCCTCTGCTGGCAGCACTGCTCGTGGAGAACGGGACCCCTTTCTCTCATCGCCCTGCAGGAGAAGAGATTCCTCCGCATGCTAGCGGAAGCCGGGGTGCCAGACATGACGCGGCACGACGTCCCCAGTGAGTTTCTGCAGCCGCTGGTCCCGCGGTACGAGGAGGCCTTGTCCCAGCTGGAGCGAGCCATCAAGGTGAGGGGCCGAGGTGTTCCTGACCCATGGCTCATGTCTGGGAAGACCGAACAACAGCGTGTAGGAAGGGGAGAGGGTGGGAGGGCGGGGAGGGGTTTCCGGCCTTGGGAGGAGGGCTGGGGCCAGAGCTGCACCCAAGTGAGTGCTGGGCCATGCTGCTGCTGCGGCTTGGGGGTGGGGAGCCTCAGGGGCAGGGCGCAGGTGGCGCCACAGGGCCTTTGCCTCTCCCTGCCGCAGGAAGAACGAAGGCAGAAGGCGCCCTGACGGGCTCGGGGGACAGGCGAGCTGAGCCCCCTGCAGAGCAAACCCTTCTATCCTCTGCCGGGCTCAGTCACTTCCTTTCCAGAAAAATCCTAAGCCGCAGCTGCTGGATACGGAGCAAAAGACAAGATTCCTTGGACTTCAGAGGGAGCAGCCAGCAGAAAAGGCCTTCATCCCCCAGCGCGCTGCCTCCTTGTGCCAGGCCCCAGACAGTCGCTACAGCAGGCCTGGCGCTGGGCAAGCTCAGGCCTGGGTGAGACGCTCACCAGGCAGCCTCTGCCCGGGGTGCGGATCTTGTGAACCTGCTCACGTTACTGCAGAACTGACAGGGCGGCATCCGGGACCCCGGGTGGCCTCAGGGCGTCTGCCACGCTGCACATCCATGAGCCATTCCTGCGCTGTCACGGCTTCCACGCGGGGCACAGCACACCACGCAGCTGGGGGTCCTCCCCACGGGGATGAGACAAACCTCACCACCCACCAGAACGTGCGCCGTGAACATAACGGAAAACAGGCTTCAGAAGCACTGACCCGGCACTTGTGTAAGGATTTTTGTCCAAAATTGCACGCTGATATTAAAACAAACTTGAAGAAACCCGAATGGAGTGGTGGCGTTTGGTGTGTCCTGAAAGCATGCGCTTCACTGCGGCAGGGTAAGGTTCGGAAACAGCCACATGGTTGCTCGTGGGGCCGTGGGAGGGCGCAGGAAACCTCACACTCAAACGGCCACAGACTTCTGGATGGAGAGCAGCTTTCACGTGAGACCCGCTTACATCTCCAAACACGGGCTGTGCACGGCCCACTCACCACCACCCGCTCCCACCCCCCTCGCTGGGGCCTTGCTGGCTGCTGGAGCCTGGCTGGGCTCTGCATACGGGGGGGGGGCGGTGGTCAGGACCCGTCGCTGGGGCACCACCACCACAGACACACCAAGCTGCCTGCTCGCGGGACAAGCTCTCACTTCCCCGAGGAACCCAGGCTCGCGGAGGGCGGCCTTCACCCCGGGCTTCCTTGCAGACGTCCCCTGGACTCTGGGAACCTGAGGCTAGGCTGATGGGAGGGCCTGTCCCACCAGCACAGCGAGGTGTGTGCTTACTGCTGTTCCGTGTGTTACCTGTCGCGTCCACTCACGCGTGACGACTGCTGGTGGAATCTGTTCGGGAAGGGGAGACCTGGATACGACACGCTCCAGACTCGGAAACACATATTGCAGACACGGATGCGTGCGCGCAGACAGCTTGTACGCCTGCCCCCACCGCTGGACTCTGCGACAGCTGGTCTTCAGCTACTTTTCAGCTACCCCGTGTCCTTTCACTGCCTCACTTACTTATTCTCTGCTTCCTGAGTTGTCTTACTGCAGTCGCTCCTGCTCTCCTCTCACGTCTGGGGGCAGTAACGGCTCTAATCGGCGTTGGTCCTTCGTATGCTGACCGTCGCTAACGTGCTCTCCGCCTTTGTCTTACATACGTATACATACATAGATATATTTTTTTAAGATTTTACTCATCCGACAGAGACAGCGAGAGAAGGAACACAAGCAGGGGTGAGTGGGAGAGGGAGAAGCAGGCTTCCCGTCAAGCAGGAGGCCCATTCTGGGGCTCCATCCCAGGACCCCAAGAGCATGACCCATGCCAGACACTTCATCGACTGAGCCACCCAGGCGCCCCTCCTTTGTTCCGTATTTTGCCATTTCAGGAATGTTTTAAAATTCTATATTTTTATTTAAATGCAGTAAGTTAATATACACCGTATTGTTAGTTTCAGAGGTAGAACTCGGTGACTCAGCAGTTGCATACAACACCCAGTGCTCGTTCTGCCACGAGCCCTCCTTCGTGCCATCCCCCCGTTACCCCAGCCCGTTACCCCACCCACCCACCACCCCTCCAACAACCCTCAGTGTGTTTCCTATGATTAAGAATCTCACACGGTTCGTCTCCCTGATTTTATTTTTCCTTTCCATCCTCTGTATTCCTGTTTTGTTTCTTAAATTCTATATATGAGTGAAATCACATGACATTTATCTTTCTCGGACATCTTTCTCGGTATCGCTTAGCACGATACTCTCTAGTTCCATCCACACCAACACAAATGGCTGAGTGATACTCCATCGTCTATATGAACCACATCTTTATCCATTCATCTGTCAATGGACATCTGGGCTCTTTCCACAGTTTGGCGATTGTGGACGTGGCTCCTATGAACGCTGGGGTGCACGTGCTCCTTCGGATCCTTACTTTAGGGGCAGCCACTGCTGGCTGTGTCTCCCCGTCCACGTGGCTCTCCTGCGAGCCCATGCTTCCCATCCCTGGAGCCCCTTGTGAAAGGCTAACGATCTGCACAGGGCTTGCATTTGTGGGGGCTGCTTGTGGTCCCGCTGCTGGGCCCTGTGCCTGTGTGTCCCCCACCCCGGGAGGCGACGCTGCGGCTGAGGTCGGGGGGCTCCCCACCTTCAGAGCAGGGCTCCATATCTACAGCAGGTGCACGCGGTCCATCTGCACCGTGAGCAAAGAGCCAGCGAGAAGCTCGGCAAACAAGATAAGAATAAAAACCTCCCCGAGTACCCATCCCTCCAAAGCCGGCAAATCTGCAGGCGCTAAAATCACAAGGTTGAGTGTGTCATTTTCTGGAACGTCCTCAGTCACTGTGATCTGTCACCGTTGACACCACAGAAGCACACGCGGGTCCGTGTTCCACGTTCCTTCTGTACGCTCTCGTCGGTGCAGATCACCGTCCCAGGCAGGGTCCTCACCTGGCCTCGGAGAAACGCTCGTCCTTGTTTTTAAGACACTGGAAGGCTTGCTCATTTTGCCCCGACACGGTGGTCCGGGAAATGTGTGACATCTCAGGAGACGCTAGGGGGCTCCCCACGAGGACCTCCTCTGAGCGCAAACTCGGAATGCTCCCGGGACTCGAAAACCCAGTTTGCGCGCACACAGCAAGAGCAGGTCTCCCAAAACACACCGTCTTCCTGTCGGCCCCCGCGACGGCCCCCCCGCAAGTCCTTACAGCACAGGCTCCCAAGTGGAAACACTTATAAATGCTCCTGGACTTGTTTCAACATGGTGCTTTTCGATACTTTTCTTTGGGTTTAACCCAACTTGTTACTCACCTAAAGGATATTTTTTATTTTATTTATTTTCTTACTTGTACCCTCCTCATCCACAAACGTATAAAAAATTTTTTCTGTTAAACATTTCCTCAAATGCGTTTCGTCAATTCAATTTTAAAATCCTTCAATAAAGCAGGTCAAATCCAGGGACAACAAACAGTGCTCTACAGTCTGTGGCAGAGAAGCCCACGGAGACTTCCAGCTCGGGCCACGCCTCCGCAGAGGGTACAACCAATTCCTACCCAACCTCCCAGCCCCGCCCAGCCCCCCGGCTTCAGACGGGGACTCACGATGCTCTCCCTGGCCAGCTCTCCCAGGCAGCCGAGAAAACAGCCTCTTCCTAATTCCACGCGTCCCTCCGGCAAGTTGACCTGTGCTCAGCCACCAAAATGCCCCTGATTACCCGGTACAGCCCTGAAGGGTTAACCAAGAATTAAAGACAAATTAGTAGCCAACTGTCTTTCACGGAGGGATCCTCTCTGTGCTGGTTTAGCCTTCCCACGCATTTTTAATTTCTGCTTAAGGCTACGAATTCCTAGGACAGGGGCCAGCCAATTTTCAGATAAATAAGTGATAAAAGGCTCTTGACAAATACCAAAAACCTAGCAAAACGGAGAGTGCTCACAGGCCATGATGCAAACCCCAAGACGGCAGCCCTTACAGGCTGTCTGGCGTGCAGCATGTGGCTCAGGGACCGTCCACACTTCCGTGGCTGCTGCTGTTCAACTAGACACAGGCGAGCCTCCCGAGAGGGCGAACAGACACTGGGAGCTGCAGCCCTCGGAGAAGGAGGGTGCCGCCCAGGGTCAGGCTGGTGTCCTTGGTCCCCGCCCCTCCCCACACTGGCAGAGGAAGACAGACAATCAGACAAATGCAGGAGACTCTGCCACACAACCTGCCAGGGCCACGAGGCCCAGCCCACCCACCACCCACCAGCCCGTGGTTTTTCTAAAGCATGCAGGGAATCGTAGACTACATCCCAAGCCATCAAACAAAGAAATATTTTAAGGGTCAAAATCATAAGAAACGTTTTGATTGTAAGGAGCAGATATCTGGCACACCCCCAAATATCTGAAAATAAGTATTAAATAAAATCTTTAAAGTGTAAAACCTTTGACAGGAATTCCACATTAGACATATGTGTCTCCATACAGAACGGGTAAGGGGCCTGTCTACAAAGTCACTAGCGGTGTCAGCCCAGAGTCGTAGTTCGACACCTTCAAGAGACACACAAAACGTCCCAGAACCACAAATCCCAGACTACGCTGCTGAACGCGTCTCTGCTTATCCTGAAATCTGGATAGAAGTGACTGCGATCTGTATAGCACCTGCCAGCTCACCCCTTCTGTCACTCCTCCGGAAGGGCACACACCCCTTCCTGCCGTCCTTTGCTGCGCACGTATCTCCGTGTTTCTAAACACAGAAGAGAGCACGTGAGTGCATCCAGATGGTGCAATAAAACATTGTTGAGTGTCAGCTCAGTGTCGAGCTCCCGCAGCTGGCTTTCCTGGCTGAAAAAAGGAAACCAGGCGATGTAGGAGGCCCTGGAGGGAGTGGGGGACACTGAGGGTCAGACCCTGACTGCGCTGATAGCTGGGTTTAAATCCCGGCTTTTCCTCCAATGGTCCACACGACCTGGGATAAAACGCTTAGAACCACAGACAGTTTTCAATTTGTCCAAATAAGAAACTCAGAAACACAATCTTAATTGTTTAACATTATTTCATTATTTGAACATTTCTAAGATTCTAACCACCCCACTTCTCTTCTCTGACTAAAACTATTTGGTGACCCTGTCCTGTCTCTGGCCTCAGGAACCCACTGCTGGGCTCCCGTCCCGCCCTTGAAAGGTGCAGCCACCCCCATGTGAGACACCACGTTGTACCCTCTGCGATGTGCACCCTCTGCGATGAGGCACGTTGTACCTCCCTTGAGACTAAGTGGATC